AGAAAGAACTGTGGAACATCTGACACACAAAGTTAAGTTAGTTTTTGATTCACTGGAGAGACAGAAACAACTTGAAATTAAACAGAAGCAGATTATTCAGCAACTGGAAAAAGATCTTGCCGAGGTACAGACAATGGAAGCAGAGTATAAGAAATTAATTCAGAGTCAGGAAACTGATGAACTCTTGGAAGAAGAAAGGGTAAAGTATCAACTTTCCTCGTAGATCTTTATGAATGGGTTACAAGACTATATTTGAACTACATTATGTTGAAAAAAAAATTCTTTGATACTGGTTATATGATGGAAGCTGTAATGGTGACAGATAGGCCGCGCCATAGCTCAAGCGGTTAATCGCTGGCTTCCCATCACAGCGGACCGGGTTCGATCCCGGGTCTGGTCAAGTGGGATCTGTGGTGGACAAAGTGGCACTGGGGCAGATTTTCTCCAAGTACTTCAGTTTCCCCTGCCAATCTTCATTCCACCAATGATAATGAACCTTCGGGTTCCATAAAATGCTGGGAAATTCTTGAGTAGCTGCAGAATTGGCGGTTCCTCCAGAAGGGCTCAGCTCCATGAGTAAGTAAGTAAGTAAGTAAGTAAGTAACTATGCTGGATGAAAGGCAAACATTTAACTACTGCTCCACTTAGCAGTATTGAAATTTGAAGGCACTAACCTGTACATGAATATGAATTGTGTTTCATATTGTAGTAATAATTATGTTTTACAGAGTGGTGATGATTGTATTTCGTATTTTAGTGATGATTGTGTTTTATGATATGGTATGGTGGAGTAGAATGGGATTTACTTTCCATGACAAACCACTCTTCTTGTCAAAGCAGAGGCCTGCATTTATAAACTAGAAATGCTAGTCACACAGAATTAAAACACAGCCATGAATTGCAGTGGGGCTCGAAGCCAAGCTTCAAGCTGCTGGAAGGCCAGCAGTATACAAGTATACTGGTCAGCTCCTGGTCACAAAGTTTCATCTCATTTATGCATTCAAATTAAGTTAATCTTCTTTCCTTTCTTGTTTATTTTCATTCATCTACCTTACTAGGCTTTTACATTGTAACACTTCTGGACCAAGTGTCATATTTGTTCATGTGTAAATTAAGTTTTGGTGTAAATCTATTCAGGTTAAAGAGTATGATAAACTAAAGCAAGAGGCCGGGAAACGGACTGCTGTACTTCGTCAGCAGCTGTATACCGTGGAAAAAGAACAGAAAGATCTCCAAGAGATTTTGGACAGAGAATTATGTAAGAAAGTTCAGATAAACCGTCAGCAACAAGGGATTAAGAATGCAATAGCAGATGCAAATATACGCTTGCAAAAAATTGATTGCTATATCAAGTAAGTATATTGGATTTGCAGTTGTCATGATGGGGATATGGAATATGGTCTTCTGGGTTGTAATACCATATCTTTTGGAGAAAGCCCACCGTTTCAGAGGAATATATTGCCACCATGTTCAGGGTTACACAGTAAGCCAGGCAAGAAACCAGCAGGAGCAGGCCTCCATCTTTAGGGTTGAAGTGTATGTATTATTATTATTAGAGGGCGTGGGTCTTTTACATGCCGTAAATCTACGACACGGGACCCACGGCTTAAAGTCCCTCCTGGAGGACTTACTCCCTGAATTTTTCCACCCTTAAAAATTCCACCGGGTTTGAACCCACGTACCTTGAGTCGTGAGGTGGGAACGTTACCCCTAGACTACGGAGGCCGCTTAGGGTTGAAGTGTAAGCCAAGCAAAATCCAGCAGAAGCATGTGGCAGTGTGTTCCACAGAAATGTCTGTTTCTGAATGTCTGTTACAACCCAGAACAATAAGTATATCATTTTGCTTCATATTTCATTAAACACTCATGGTTCTCTTGACGACTCTGTTCTACATTCTTACACTGAAAGTGAACGTACCCTTCTACGAATGCTCTATCACCTGTATTCAGCTCTATTTTAGGGATGTTCCTCAACATTGCAGTGCCCCTATTAATTTACCCATGTCTGTTTATATTTTATCATAAAATATGTCTCTTTCTGGTTGCGTATTTCCCCCTATTCTCTAAATTCTCTAATTATATTTATGTAATCAAATGCTTCTGAAAATTACAACACAGGGAAAAGGAACTTTCTCTGCATGAAAAGAAGAAATTACAGGATGAAGAACAAGCAAAAGTCAGCAGTGCTAATGAAGAAATAGAAAAGGTAAAAAGTGAACTTGAGACTCTGGTGAAGCATTTGAACCAAATGAACATAGGGAGTGAACTTTTCCTTAAAGAGAAAAAGAAGCAAGATATTGTGAAGGATTTGAAGATGGCATTTGGTGATAATATTGTGAGTACTACATTATTTGATCATGTAGTTATGACTTCAGTTATATGTGCCAGCTGTGAGAAAGACTTTAAAGTGGCGCACAGACTCCAATGAGACATTTACTTGAAATGAAGATGTGGTTAATTTTTTTATTACATAATTCTTCCATTTTTTTTTCAAATATTCTTCACATCTTTGCAACACAAATAGGCAGAATGAATAAATATTTGGCCTAAATGCACTTTGGTTCATGTTCTCTAAAGCAGAGTTTCTTAACCTTGATCTATTATCATACCCTGTGATCTCAGAGTGAGGACCTATTCAGTGATAACCATATTTTCATCTCAATATGCTTCTTACATTATAAACATGGTAAGGTACAGTAGAAAGGTTTTTTTTTATTTTAAACAACTTTACACCATGCAGAGAAAGGATGCACAAAAGTAAGCTGTGAAGACTTCTTAGGCCCTTTTGACTTTTATTTAATAATATGTGAAAGACATCTGTGTCCATATATGAGTCTCATATTTCCTGGTTTACACTTACTGCTCTACTTGTTAATTTACAATATATTGGGTATCATTTACTAATAGCTTAAAGAAAATTAAACTGCTAACATTGATCATTGACATCTTTCTAAGTCAGTGACCCCTCAATGTACACACACACTAGCGTCCATAGTCATGTCTTCACTAGCAGTTGCTGGAAACAGCTTCCTATGACAGATGTTCCCCTTCCTCTGGATTTCTGAACTATCCCTGGCCTTTACTACCAGCTTTTCACAACAACAGCTTACAGCAACGGAGCCCCAGCAGTCCTCTCACTAATTGACTAACTCAGTCACTCACCAATCAACTCAACTCAACTGACTTTCACAAACTAACTGTCATACATATAACATCTTGGCTTGGACAGCACAGAAGACACAGCTCCATTATTTCTGTGCAGTTGTTACTGAGGAAACATCCTTCTTTGTGAAGCTGTTACTTAGCAATGGCTGTTGTATAGCTGCTTCTTTCATGGCAATTGCCTAGCAACAGGTCGACATGCCACAGTATTTTGCTTTTGAATTGGAGTTCTGCATTTGCAATGTAATTTTACTCTTTTATGCACATGGTATCACAGTAGCAAGTAGTTTAGCCTCTCACAGAAGAGGTAATTTTCCCGTGTTGTTAGAGTATGTAAGTAATGGCAGCATGTGGTAGTTTGCTATCCTGACTGTTTCATACCAATGCCAATTTTGACTTCATTTTGAAGTGGTCATACTATTTAATAATAGTTGGCCATATTGAGTCTGCTGTTATGTGCCTGTCATAACTCTTTTTTCCCAAGCAATAATGATCCATTTCTGTTTGTGTTTATTAATCCAACGTTTAAGTGCTGTCATGTTATTATTACATTTATTTTATTAAATATAAATTTTTACTTGTTTATCTCTCTGTCTCTTTCTTGTTATGCCAAGTAGTGTCCTTATGCTTCCCATTTAATTCTATATGAGGTTTTGAACCTAGCAGAGTGGCTATAGAAATTATATGCTGATATATAAAAATGTCATAAAGGGTAATTTTTTCAGTTAGGGTCATATGTACACTGTGGAGTTTGAGGAAAATAACTGAGTTTGTTTTGTGCCCTTTATATTGACCCACAATCTGCTCTGAAAATGTAATGAAATAATTAATAGTGCTACGAACCACGTGCTCCTAAAACAGATACACAGATGAGCAAGTGGAAAAGAGACACCGATCACTGATGCTTATGCTTCTCAATGGTAGATACAAGATGACAGCACATGTAGGAACTGGGTCTAACACAGGCTGTGTAAGAAAGTTATCTTTGCATCACAAGATGCAAGGCAATTTTGGCAACTTCTTTCAGGCATAAAGGCACTTTTTATGATTTGAGAAATGTAATAAGATCAGTTCATGTATGAAAAACTGTTGCACTATTTTTAAATGGCAGCTGGTACCATTGTCAGTTCATCTTTACCTGATAAAAATAATGCTTTTATTATTTTGTGACATATGTTTATGAATGGTATGCTATTCCAGCTTGGACGTATGTCAGACCTCTGCCATCCTGCCCATGAACGTTACAAGTTGGCCATTACCAAAGTGATGGGCAAAAACTTAAATGCACTGGTTGTTAAAAGCAAGCAGACTGCTTTGGAAGTTATTCATTACCTCAAGACATTTCACCTACCACCTGAGATCATACTTCCGCTTGACACCATAAAAGTCTATCCAATTCAAGGGAGATTAAGGTTTGTAAATGGAAAGCAGGGCATGATTGAATACCTACAGTGAATCCCAACCAGAAAATTCCTGAGTTATGATGTGTTTCATATAGTCATAACCCTTGTAGAAAGGTTATTTCAGTAGCTCAGTTGCTATGCTATGCAAATACAGATTATGAATTTGAAAGGTGGAAGAATATAAATGATAGGACCTAAGTACAATATGGGTTGATAATTACAGATTTTGGATTATTATATTGTGGTTTAGAAATAAAAGACTAGATTAATTTATAGTGTAAGTAGTCCAGAATTTTGGAAGAAAAGTGCAGAATACAAGTGGTGTTGTAAATAAGGTGAAATGGTTGTGAAGGATGCAATGCAAAAGCGCAAGGTACCCTAACAGGGAGTCATGCTCGTCATATATAACTGCAACAGACTCAATAAATTAATTAATTTGTAATGATATTTACTGTATTTCATTAGCTAGGAATTCAATTTTTAACTCTGGTCTATATTTACTTAGGAATCTCTGCATCCCATCTGGAGAAAACGTGAAGTTGTTGTACGATGTAATTCACTGCAAAGTCCGAGTTATTGAACCAGCTGTCCGGTTTGCTGTTTCAAATTGTCTTTTATGTGAGACTACAGATACTGCTGTGTATGTAGCTTATAAACTGGATCCTACAGTGAAGTATAATGTATGTAATATTCATTAAGCTGCAGATTCATAGGTTATTTAGCAGTACTGTATAAACAGTGCGGGTTATTTAAGCATTTTAAATCAGTAACACGTGTCCGCAGTGAATACAAGAATGGAAAGAATGATATAGGAATTTGGAGAGCCCTAATAAAACCTGTATCACTGCAAATTTGACCACCATGAATTCTGTTTACATTGGTTGGGGCTGGAACACATGTCATCTTGTTGACTTGTTTGTACTCTAGCCAAGAGACCATGATAGAACTACACATGAAAATAAAACAGTTAAGAACGAAGCAAATTGCAAAACATAAGTATATGTATACTCATACATGTAGAGATTTATTTAAAAAGCTTGACATACTGCCAATGCCATGTGTATATTTGCTCTCATTGATGATATTTGTTCTTAATAATTTGGATAAGTTTCAAACCAGTAACTCTGTCTATGTGATTGGTACCAGAAGGAATGACCACCTTCAACACATCTATCATCCTATCAGAGAGGGGCGTATTATTCAGGCATCAAGCTATACGATATTCTGCCGTCAAATAAAAGAACGATAAAAAGCAATTTAGGTTTGTTTTACGAAATTATTTGCAAAGTAACACATTTTACTCATTTGATGAGTTTGTTGAGCATGTAAGTGGCTCAAAAGTTAAGAGTTAATAAATTGTCTGTGTGCGTGAATTACATACTGTTGAGACTTGCTTGTTGTAAGTGCAGTAGTACAGTATGTATGTCTGATGTCTTGTTTTTTGCTATGAATTTTAATATTTTTTTATAATGCAACTGGCTTGCCAGAGTGCGTGGAATGGCAAGGTGTGAACTGATTGTGGTTTTTCCATGACCAATGTGTGTTGTCCTGACAACTTGAGCTATTCTGTCTGAGGCTTGATTTTATATTTTATTGGACCAAGGACGAATGATGTGTAGTCATCATGAATTTGTAATATGTGACATGCTTTATATCCAGCCCTACGGGGAGATGATTGGATCCATGAAATGAAAAATAATTGTAAATGTAAATGTTCCATGTAGTAGGTTATGTGGTTACTGCAAGGAACAGAGATTTTGAGGCTTTACTTTGAGATCTATGATAGACATATTCACATATGTGAGTTTTCTCATCATCTTACTGTTTTGCCTCACAAGTCATATCAGTCTTTACTCATGAATAATCACTAAATCAATATTGTATAACATTAAAAAATGACAGCTTTTATTATAGCACCAAATGCCATTATAGAAGTTAACTGGGGAACTTGATAATCTTAAGTTAAGGCATTAGACTCTCATTCAAAGGGTTCTAAGCTTGACTAACCAGTCACATGTTTGTGCTATTTTCCTCTCCACACATTTAAATTGTTCCAGTCAATCCAAGCATTAATACTGGGAATATGAAGACTACCAGCCCCTGTCCTTGGGGGTTCCATCTGATGATCATCATTCTCATGGTCATTTTAGTAATAGGGGTAATGGGAGCCACCCTGCTGGTGCCCCATGTTGTCAAATTGATTCTACAACCTTCCTTGGGTGGGCATAGGCCAGAAAAGTATACACAAACTGTTCTTGGAGATATAGAAACCAACCAACAAACTTTGGTGCCATAAGAAATCTGTTTGTTAAAGTATATATTTGATGAAATGAAGTTAGGTGGAAGGGTATATCAAATCTTGAAAACTAGATATGGCACATGTTTTTGGAATTCTATGAAGACTGTATTAAAGAACACCCCTGATAAGGTCATATATGTTCATGTGTCTGATTGTCAATCCATGTATTCACACATTTCATTTTTACCCTTTATTGAACACATCTTTTAATGATTTAAGTGAACCTGGCAACCAAATTTCTATTTTGTGTGGGGCATTTAAGTCCAACTGCACATGTGGTCTGGTGTTCATATTGTATGTTGCAGCTTATTCCATTTCAACAAGATTTGAATTGAATTTTGTGTGTACATCATAAGAATACTTAATACTGAACTTTCCATACAAATGCAGAAACTTTCCTTTCAGTAACCACAGGCATAATATAGATGAAGACACTTTCACTCCCGCGTTTTTCAGGCACTAATGCATGCACCTTAAATCACAGCTAAGTGTTATCCCCAGGTCTTTGTCTTAAGTAAAGGTTACTTCTGTACCTCTTCATTTTTGTCACATTAATAGCTGTGAAAATTCACATGTTCAAAAAATTAATACAAGTGTAGTCAGCACTGGTGTGAAGAAAAAATAGGAAACTGGAAATGAGGGGCCCAGAACTCAGAACATTCCCAGTGGCACCCTAGATAGAAATGAGTATATTCATGGTTGGTCCAGATAGGGATAAACTTTTGTTGTTTTCTCAATTTTTTATGATAGTCTTACTTGCTTATATGTTGATCTATGGCTTTTAGTTTTGGCTTGGGAAACGGTATTTTAAAAGAAATCTGGAAATGAATACCAGTGCAGTACTTACATCTGCAGACACCAAGGTGCCTAATAGATATATGAAACAAAGATAACTGATTTTTTTAAAGCTATTAATCTGAAACTAAATAAGACTGCAACTTAATCCTACATTTGGGAAGCGAAAGCAAAATATGAGTATTATATCTGAATGTGTTACAGGTTGTATCTTTGGATGGTACTTATTATAAAAAGGGAGGCGTACTGTCAAGTGGGAAAGTAAGTTTGCAACAGAAAGCAAAGCAGTGGTTGGGACAAGAAATTCTTCAGGCACAAAACAGAAAGGTATGTTACATAATTCTGTTTATTGCGTTAAATAACTTATAACGAATCTCTTATACATAATATTTAATTTTCTGCAGACAGAACTGTGTGAGAAGTTACGAGACTTGCAGAAGCAGTCCAGAACCATTCCAAATGTAAGACAGACTACTGATGAAATATGCAGTATAGAAATACGTGTGAAGTATGTCAAGGAAGATAGAAAGAAACTGGTGAGTTAATGGAGGTGAATGGTGGAATATGCACACAGAATGCAAATATTTAATTTAATTTTTCGCATAGTGGGGGGTGGAGTCCAGTTGGGTCCACTCGGCACGGCGGCCACTGATGGGCCTATTGTACCTGTCCCAATTGATTATGATGATGGAGAATTTGGTGGAGTGAAGATTGGCAGGGAAAACCGAAGTACTTGGAGGAAATCCGCCCCATTGCCACTTTGTCCACCACAAATCCTATTTGACCAGATCCGGGATCGAACCCGGGCCGCCGCAGTGGGAAGCCAGCGACTAACCACTTGAGCTATGGATGCAGATATTTAGTTTCATATATATAAATGTATAAGTCTCAAGTAAAATTTATAGAGGGAAATTATTCCTTGAGTGTTACAGGTTAGATCCAGGAGTCATCAGATTCAAGGTACAAAGGTGATTGGTACACTGTTATCACTTTATTGGTATTTGTGAAATTTATGAACATTTTAATTCTGCTTCAGTAGAATTTATGGTCTTCACTAAATTAAAGTAAAGTAAAGTGTCATAAACTAAACTAAACTATATTGTACAGAATTAAATTTAGTTAACATGTGAATGAACTAATATACATAAACAGCATCGAAGATGTGTAAAGCAACTGTCCTAAATGGGCAGGGCCATAACAGACAAACAGGTTGCAGAAAGGCCATAATACTGTTCCCTTCCTTATATTTCTTTACAGATAGAAAAAGTCACAGAATTGCAATCTCAGCTGGAAAAATTAGGTACCCATTCTGCAGATGCTGATGTAAGTTATAAGATTTCTTTCTCAAAATGTGTGTATGATTAAAGGCAGTTTGTACAATGCTGTTTTTAGCACTGACTGTTCTTATATCCTGTTACAGTCTTTGATTACAGACCTTGAACAGAAAATGCTGGATCATTGTAACAAGAGACAAACAATTCAAAATGAGATGAACTTGGTTGAGGATACTGTATTTTCTGACTTTTGTCATAAGACTGGTATAGCAACTGTTCGTGAATATGAGGGAATTGGTCTCAGGTAATGTATGGATATGCACTATATTAATATTTATATTTGTTGCTAACATTTAATATAAGGCTGACATAATGTTCAGTTCCTTTCCTGAAACATGTTTCCAAATGTTATATCATAACAAAATTTCTTACTGTTAAATGAACATGTACAGACTTAATCAATTTAGGCCACAGAAAGTTAAACTTAGACACATTACATTTTATTAAACAGGCTGTACCAAGAAAGAGCTGAAAAGAGAAGCGAACTCTCGACACATAAGCAAAATATTTTGACCCAACTGAAGTATGAAAATGAGAAGCTCACATTGCGTAAGTATCTGAATGTTATTTGATCCAGTGTCACATGACAGTTTAGTATTACTGAATTTGAGATCTTTAATTCATCTGCAGTCTTAAGCATGCTTATACACTCTCATGCTACAGGTGCAAGTGTACTTTCATGCAAAATGCGAAGTTTGCTTCAACTGGTTCCAGTGGTAATTTGTGAGTGGTAGTCCTGTATAATGCAGTAAATTTTTATCTAGAGACCAATGGAAGTACTTTACAGTAAAATACAAGGAACAATTTTGACATCTACGATGGTTTCCTAGGACTAGCTACTTAAAGTTGGGAAGGTTGCAGATGGATTAAGAAGAGTGTAAAGGTGTGCGTGATAATGGAGCATGCAGAACTTGCAATGCAGCATTTTA